TATGTATGTATGTATGTATGTATGTATGTATGTGTAAAGAGGACAGAGTACTTTGTAGATTGACATTTCACTTGAAAAAAAACCAATCAGATACCTGTCAATGCAACACCCCTTTTTTAACGCACTGGCCAGATGAACGTTGCGCTTGTTGATGTTGAAACTCATGACAACCCTACCCCCCCTAGAATCCTACACCATGAGACAAGGGAAGGTGTGGGCGGTCATTTAAGGACCAGCAAGCCCTCTTCATAAGGCCGGTAGGTGAAGAGGAAGCGACCGCCAATACTGCCAGCACGAAATATGACAAGGCCATGTTTCACAGTACTGGGCTCATACCGGGCGTCAGTGAGGAGGCCCAGCAAGACGCCGACAACCTCAGGGAGCATCGAACTCTCCTACTCAAGGCCCCCATTGGCCTGCGGGCGAAGAACCGGTGGCTGATGCCACAGGAACTGCCGAAGATTGCCTGTAGTTTGCTCAAAGAGAGTGGTGAAGCCTCACTACAAGAGCTTGTGCAAGCAGCAGAAGAAGTCAGTGGCAAAACTTTAGGGTCAGGATGGTACTCCCGTGAGGACTGTCCCTGTACCCTGCCTGCTGGAGCAAACTTGCAGGCAGCGTACCCAGAACTACGCCACATTCTAGACACCCCGGAAAGCCTATTATTATTACAAATTTAAAGGGTGTGATAATTGACCGTCCCACACCTGCCACGAAAATTAGACTTGTTAATTCGATCCGCCGCTGACCTCAGACAGATTTGTAAGAAGGCTAACAAGCGTAAACTTTTGTCTGCCTGAAGTACTCACATAGGTTGCCGCCAGCTACTCCGCACACCTTACACCCATTTGCCTTACATTCCCTTCCAATCCAAGCCTTTGGCTCTCCATTTCATTGACCTTCCACCTTTGCAAATGCCTCACTACTACGCCCACCTTGCCCACCAAAATCTCTCCTCCCTCTTTGCTGCCCACCTCCCCAACTTCCCGTGAGAGTCCAAGAAGGGCTATTAATTCATATCACCATACCCAGTGTGTCATGTGGGTCAACGCACCAGTTTAACCAGTTCTTTAGTAGCGCAAATCTTTAACCGGCGCTTTAGCAAAACGGACTTGCTGGGATGTTCGACCCTGGAAACTGAGGAGGTTGAATTGGAACACGTTGACTGTGACCAAGATTCAGAGAGTGTTGTGTTACGGATGGTTTTTGACTCAAGTACAGTGGTTTCAGAGTAGATGGTCACAATGCCCAAAAGGTGGTGTATATGGACCTCCATCTAAAGGACATCTTCTGGTTTGTGCCATCTTCTCTGAAAACACTGTAGATTGAACGTGGAGGTTCTGAGATCCTTCTGCATGGCAGCGGTGGCCGCTGTGTTCTCATCGTTTTATCATATTTTACCCCTAGGGTCAGGGTGGTGAGTGGTGGTGGATTATATATTACTGCCAGGCGGTGGGGTAATGTTTGAGTCACAACTTCCCTGGTTCACCTCGCAAGGAAGGGCCCCGGCTACCATCTGGACCTATTCGTCCGCGGCGCTGTGACGTTGCCCGCCTGCGCCTTTCTGGGGCTGCCGCTCTCTGTGGCCTCCACCGTGCCCTCCATCACCCACGTGCCGAGCCGATAGAGAGATCCATGCGGAGGAGGGGAGAAGGAACTCGGAAGGAGTTCTTTTGGGGTAGGACTCCTAGGTGGGAGTGTTTGGCAGTGGATCCACATTGCGGTCCATTGAGATTCCATGGAGGGTATTCTGAGGTGATCTTTGGCAATGGTCCATGCTGTGTATATGGACCCTACCATTTAGATTCGATGTACCGCTTGAAATGTGAGGTCATGCGCCTGGGATGTGTCGGGGGATTATCCTCCGAACGGAGGTGGATGGCATGACCCCTGGATTAGTTCACCGAGGAGTTCACACCCTAAAACATCCAAAGACCCTGGATGAGCTATTTCAGATTGAGCTCCAAGTCATTGGTGCAGGCTCAGCCTGGATTGGACCGTCGGATCCCACATCCACATCCCGAGTCCGTCGGATCCCGACGAGCCGCTGACCTCTGTCCCACGTGACCTCCGCAGCTCCGCAACCAAACAGACCTCACACCAAGGTGATCTCTTTGACCACCTATGAGGTGCCGGGGTAGCACGACTCGGTCGTCCGGGGGGGTAGCTGTACGTCCTCCGAACACCGCGTCGTTCGTCCGGCGGGCTTGGTCCGGGGCTTTGTCCGGGTCTGGCTGTGGCCCCAAACACCCGAACTGTGCCCTGAAGTTCCGTTGAGCCTCTTTTCCTTTTTCATCCTTTTGGCGTCACCTGTGACCTCTCGACATTTGACCCATCCCGTGGACAGGTCTTTTCATCCAACAAAGTGATAGGTTTTGGCTAGGAAAGGATCGCTTTGGTTGGGGATAGGTGCTTCAGCGCAAAAAGAGAAGGATCCAGGATATGCAGCCTGAATCCTGATTGGTTTGTGGTTTTAGGATGATTGGCATCCCTTCATGGTTCTTCGTCGCAGGGGATGTGTTTGGATCGATGATTCTCATTCAACTGGGATAGGTTCCGAGCTGACAAAAGGTGCTCAAGAGAACAGGAATACCGGTCTAAGGTTCCCATTTCCTTGGTCACGGGGAGCTTTTGGGCGACAATGACGTACCCAAAGCCAAATAGAAGAGGAAGTAGCCATGGCTTCGGGCAATACCTAGCCTGTTGGGCTTCTCACATCCGGTGACCATACCTGCACTACATATTACTGTAGGTTGTACCGTACCTGTGCACTCTCCGACCGCGACTGTGACGGGTCCGTGTTGGTCAACCCCCGACCTGCTCAGCTGCCGCAGCTTGCAGGTGCAGCAGCTGCCGCAGGGTGAGCGCAAGGTGCCAGTGAAAGTGGTGGAACAGAGAGCCACGAACTTCCTGATTCATGAGCCTCGGCTGATTCAAAAGCCTTGCTATTTCTCTCAGCGGCGAGGTAAGAAAACACCTGCGTCATCACCGTGTTTTTCTGGGACGTGTTTTCCCATTCAGAAATGAACAGGTGGGAAAAGGTTATATAATTATATAACCATGGTTAACCTGTATTTTCCTGGGAAACTGAGGGAGCCCGTTTGGTTCATGAACGGACGCATAGCTTTGATGGATTCTGGTGGACCGTGGAGGTTCTGGTGCAGGCTTCGCGGTGTGTTTGGTTAGACACTGTCGGAGGGGACACTGTCGCGGTGTGTTTGGTTTCAGCGATGTTCATTCCAGTTTGCGGCGTTTGTTTGTTGCCCTGAGGGGTTTTGTCCACTGTTCAACGGAGATATGCCGAATGAAGAGCTCTGAAGCGCCCAACACGGCTGCGGACCATAGGTGGCCGTCATGAGTGGAAGACGAGAGGGGTCTGAGAAGCTCCGTCAACCATGAGCCAAGCTTGGTGAATCCCACTTGTACAACAAGGAAACTACGGGAGGCCTTCCAGTTCTAGATCCACGTGCTTAGATTCTCGATGCTTCTGAAGCACTGATCAAAAGGAAACTCAGTGGCAAATGGATCATTGGGTTGTAATACGCCATGCAATCCCCAGATCGAGCCCTTTTCATATCACAGCATGGCTTGTGTCACCAAACCGTATACGGTATACCCGTTGTCGTCACCAAGACCCGTGTCTTGGTCACCTTGAACTGGACACCAGAGCCGCACCACCAGAGCTGCCGACCTCCACCGAGCCGACCGCGGCATCGACGAAGCCTGAAGGTCCTCATCGGCTGCGCCTTGTTCTTGGCTCCGGTGCTGAAGTTTCTGCCCCGCGCGGTGCTGCAAGGCGTCTTCTTTTACATGGGTATCGCCTCCTTGACAGGCGAGGCCCTGGGTTGGGAAGGGCTGGTTGACGGGGTTGGCCTTTGTGGATTGAAGGTGGATTGGCATGGCCATGTTTCATTTTTATTAGGGGGTGGGGCTTTAAGAGAAGAACGACTTCGAATTGCTTGTAATTGACTGGATAACTATTTTGATTGTAGGGTTTACATGTTTTCATCATTGTGGGGTGGCCCTCTTGGTAAGAGGAGTAGACCCCAACTCACAGCCACCTAACTTGAGCAACCAAAAAATCTCTCTCCCCCCCTCTCTCTCTCTCTTCACTCTTTCATCCTGACACCCAATCGTATGATTCAATGACTGGCACGAAGTAGATCCAAGAGTCTTTGTTCCTGAGGCCTTTCTCCTGGGTGAGCACTCTTGCGAAGCACACCCTGACACCTCTAAGACTCTAAGCGCCAAGAATCTTCACGATCACCCGGGACCCGTGCTACTGTACTTATTATATATAATATTGTCCTTAAGTACTAAGAAGAAGCTTCTAGGGGCTCCTGGCCTTACTACTAGGAGCAAGGACGCTACTAGGGGCTCCTGGCATCGCTATTCTTACTAGTAGCAGTAGTAGCAAGTGTGTACTAGAACTTAAAATGGGAACACTTTCGACTGGATCTTTGGACCCACAATACGGCAAGACTTCTCCTGAAGCACACAGCAAGAGACTGATGGTGTCTTTGGAATATGATTTTGCATCTACAAACTGCATGCTTGATCTGGCTTGTCATACTCATGTGTGACCTCAATCACAGGAAACCACTTGGAGCCCCTGGCATTCCCCTCGCTGTTTGGTCTGGGTAGCTCTAGGTTGCCAGGTGTTTAGTCTTTGGAAGTGCCTAGGGCACAACTGGGCAGGGCCTCGAGCCTCGAGCGAGCTACCTTGTGGCCGCCGGTCCCCGCAGAGGCAACAACCTCTTCGATCGCTTCTTCTTGTTGTTCAAATTGGAACGCAGGCAAGTGGGACTTGAAGACCGTGTGCGCATCGGAACACCGACACATGAGAATCCATAACGGATCGTTTGTATCCTTTTGGAAGCATATTCAACATAATCCGACAAACGTTCGACTTTCAAGCTTCAGCTCAAAGTTTTCTTCCTTCGTTCAAGCGTGCTTCCAGCCCAAGACCAAGCCCACCCGTAGGGGACCATGAAACGATTCCACTTCGTGGCCCAAACAGCGGGAGAAAGGATCTTCAGGCTAAAGAGACTTCGACCGGACCGAGCTAAGCCGGGGGTCCGGCAGACCGGGCACAGGGAATGGGGACGGTGCCCAGAACCCGAACCCCACGAAGGAACCGGCCTTCCTACATTTACGTCCAGAAGCTGCCCATCAAGCGCGCCGCGTGGAGCGGAGAGACTTGGGGGCGGGGGTTGGGTGTTCTGGGGGCCCGGCGGTCCGGCTCGAGGTGGAGAAAGGGAGCCGAAGTTATAGCCAGTTGCGCAACCACTGGTCAGTTCACATCCGCTCAAGCTTCTCCGGTGATTTCGTGCCGGTTTTGCGGTTGCCCACTCCAAGCAGTTGCAGGGTGGGTCGGATTAACCCTCCCGAAGCCCATGTGGGATTGACTCACCCTGATTGTTTTTGATAATCGGAAACCATCAGACCTCCTAAAGTGAGATGGGATCCTGTCAGCTAAAGTTCATGGATCCTGCCATGGGATCCTTGAATTCATCATGTTCCATCCATTTCCTCCCCACTTTTTCGAGGTTTTTGGAGGAACAGACCATTGACCATCCTCACAGTATCGCTGAGAGTCGACCTTCTCCGTCTGTTCACAGCTGTGAGGTGCACCTTTACACCCTGGTGCAGCTCATTTGCCTTGCCATCCTTTATGGCTTGAAGGAGATCAAGGAGCCGTGGTTTGATGGGCTGGGAGATGGGAGCCAGAAACACCTGGGAGGGAGAGATGACAAGTGATACATCTTGGGGGTGTCCTATTACCTGTAACAGTCCGTAAACAATGATCACTATTTTAGAGTAAGGCCTTTACTGGCGGTTAGTTCAACAGAATGCAGCATGAGTTCAACAGCTGGGGGTTCGTCGAATGCAGCCCCCAGGCTCTTGTTTTTTCGCCTCGCGACCACCCACCCAGACTTCCTCCGCGGGTTGGAGGAGACCTCCGTGGTCTTCCCCTTCTTCATGGCTTCGCTGGCGATCATTCGCAAGGTGCGCCGGGAAAACCTTCGCGCTCCGCTGCGAACCCTGCACCTCCGCGGAGCGCCACTGAGGCCTTGCGGTGGATGTTCACCCCGGAGGAGCTTAAGTATTTGGACTCCTACCCAGATGAGGACGAGGAAGAGGCCCGGCCGGGTCGCGGGTGGAAAGGGTTCCAGTCCGGGTCGCGGTGTCGCCCGGGACGCCACTGCCGGGCATCCACGTCTCCGGGTCACTGCGCCCAGGAGATGGGACCACAGCCGGACTTGGAGAACCTCCCTGAGCCCCCCCAGGCGGGTGAGACGATTCGATGAAAGACCACCTGGGCGGGGGGAAGCCCAAAACACGAGTCGTTTGGAACCGGCGTTGGATCGATCTGACAAGGAGGTCCAACCTTGGCATCTCTTCGTCTCCTTTTTCTCGGTGCGACCCGAACTCGTGATGATTCGACCCGAACGGACGAACTCGTGGTACTCGACGGTCGACGGACGAAGGCGACGCGTCGGCGATCTGAAGGCGATGGGCGTCGAACGCCAATCCGCATCGGTCCTGAGAACACGGTGGCGTTCGAAAACCCTGGGTCCTCAGGATCGGTGATTTGGTGAAGGGAAGCTCCGAAGATCCACAGAGCGCTGAAGGTTGGGTCATCATGGTCGCCCCAATTAAGGAGCTACACAGTAGACTGGGATTCAAAACCACTTAAAAGAACAATCATATGAGATCATACCTGGACCCTCCCCAAAAAACACCAATGGAAGCCTATAGGTAGTGTGGGGTAGTTCATTGGACACCCCTTGGAGGGTCCTGGTATGAGTTTTTTGTTTGTATTTGGTTGCATTTTGTTCCCTCAAAAGACCCGGGTGCACCAAAAAGCTTCTTCCAAAAAGCTTTCTTGTCGCTTGATGCTCGAAGCGTGTAGCATCAAGCCCGTTCAGTGACCTTTTCGTTCCCACGACTTCCTTTCTGCCAGTGGGTCTGCGCTATGGCAGGAAAGCAACGAAGTCAAGAAGACCGGGGAGAAGGAGGTGGAGATCTAAGCAAGTGAGACCCCCCCCCCACCTGCGCGCCAAGGCCCGAAGGAGTCGAAAACGAAGGACAGTCCATTGTTTTTTCCGTTGTTGGGCTGGACGCCAGCCCTAGGTGCGAATGTGCTAAGCTGCCAGCTTGCATAGACTTTGCTGCAGCCTTGAAAGATACTTTGTATGATTGGATGTTCTGAGTGGACTGGTTGGGATTGGCAGAACGCATTCATCGAAAGATCAGTGGGGGGCATCTTTGAGGCATTGTTTGATTTGGCACCTTTGTTTGCATTGAAGCCAAGCCCGAGAGGATATTGCTTGTGGTTGCCAAAGTTCCGATGTCAAAGAAACCTCCTTTTGCCTCAGCTGCTTGTGGAAACCACCGACACCCGCGGTTATATACTGTGGCAAGTGGATAGCAGAGATAGTATTGTTGTTGTTGCTTTAATCATTTCAGCTGGTTCCAGTAAATGGAGGGAAGGTAGGAGCTGGAACACCTGCATATTATCCGGAACTAGACACCTGCATCCTCAGACCTGTTGTGTCCTGGTGCTGTTAAATGGGACACCAACTTTCCCTTTGTAGACCTACTGTACTTAAATGATCTTAAATGTATTCAGACCGCCAGACCTTGCGGTTTTGGAAGCGAGCTTTGGCGCGTGGGAAAACGGCGTGGGAACGCAACCCATTTTTCCAGGCAATCAGCTCTGACGGCCAGGCCCATCGTAGAGATTCGTAGAGCATGGTAGAACAGGCTTAGTTGAACGATCCCAAGTCATGACTCAGGGTTGGGGGCGTTTACTCGTTTGGATTTGTTCCTACATCCCTCCGATGGCCCTCCGGGGCTCACTGGGTTTGCCAGGAGATGTTTGTCCCTGATGTCGGCGATGGTGTTGTCTCATTCACGTCCGTGTGAGACGTCTCATAGAGGTGTTTCTGTATTGCAATTCTTTTCTGGCTTCAGTGTTCACGTGAACATCGAACATCCAAAAAAACCATACAACGACTCACCATAATGCGTGAATTACCTGTGCTGCTGCAAGAACACCGACCACCCAGACATCTTGCAGTTGAAAGGAGTCATTGTGTCTTTCCAATCCTAAGACGTCCAGTGCCGTAATTCAACCTGGTCATCAAGCAGAGGATTCCCTCCGAGGAGGGCAGGTACAAAAGATCGCTCTTGCGGGACTTGCCCAACCTCCCAAAATATGGCCAGAAGTTGAAGGCTTTCTTGGGACACTTCTGGGCGGTTTTCCCGTTCACTTGTGGCCCTAGGCCACGCCACAACCTGTTTCCACAAATGACTACTAGTAACAAGGGCATCGCTACTAGGAGCAAGGACGCTACTAGTAGCTCCTGGCATTACTACTAGTAACAAGAAGCTACTAGGAACAAGGGCATTACTACTAGTAGCTATAGAACTGTGCTTTTCCGCTGCTGATTGCCAATAGATGACTTTTTTGGTGAAGTTTTCGGCGGCTGGACCTGCGGGTGGGCGCGGCCTATACTGACGAGTTTCTTTATTTCTCAGATGAAGGTGTTTGGAGCAAAGCGATCTGAGTGGGTTTTGCTAACATTTGACACCTGATGGGTTTCCGCTTCCATCCATCGACCCGAGAATCTTCCATTTGTTATGCCAAAACATGAGATGGGTCAATCCTGACAAAGACCGTCTTAAGAGGGGCCAAAGAATGAACAACTCTTGGATTTCCAAAGGCTGTTGCCAAAGCCGATACCCCTGGTCCAGGGACTGCCACCTGCTAAATTTTCCAAACCTGGGAATTGTCCTTGATCGTTGAATCCTTATGGTTCCAAGTTGCGGTTGAAAGACAAGGTCCCAGGAATGCTTTTCTGAAAAAAAGCGTTTTGCTCACCAATCGCTGTCCTCGTTTAGAGTGGTGACAGTGGTGATGGTGAAGGTTGTGTTCCTATCCCCGGCACTGTGACCGGGCTGTTGGAGCATACCGCTGGGATGCCATGGCGATAAAATTCTCACTATCCAACGTAAATAACATCAATTGGTTTTGATCTTTGGGGGTTGGTGCAGTTTTTACTTTTTACATTTCGGTATCTTTGGTATTTTCCATTTGTCTTTGTTTTGAGCCTTCTATTTTCCAAGGTCCTATGTTGAAATCTCCTCGTCCTCACAACACTTCTTGGACTGCAGCCTTTCTGCCTCCGCTATGTCAAGCATTTTCCATCATTTTCCAATCCCGAAGATGTTGGGATCGTCGGACCATGCCAGGACCCTTTCAAAACTAGGAGATCTGGACATGCGAGGAATATGCGACTGGACCAGGGATCCCTTATTCGCTTCATTTTGGAAGATCACGCACATGCTTTCACGCCAATCCCCTTCACTCCTTTCATTTTGAAGTCCGATTGAGTTCGAGTTACTCGCCTACCAACCTCCTGTGGACATTGATCGCCGGCATCGCAGAGTCGCTCTGCCCCTTGTTTGAACTCATGCTTCGCATGACACCCATGGGGCCAGAGCAACTTTTTGGTCGGACTCCTGCTTGGATCTTGGAGTCTGCAGTCGCTTAGCTCGTCGCCTAGCTCTAGCTGGTCGGATTGCTCCGACCACCTCCGGGGTCTGGGGATTTGCACACCGAGCCCATTAGAGCGGGAAAGTCCATAACTCTGGCAGAGGATGTGTTCTTCATTTTTGGGATGGTCTACATTGCTCTTTGGAGAACATCAGGTGGCCAAAGAGGGCATGTGTAGAGAAAGGGCCAAGAGGGCATCGTTCAGTCATCTGGAGCAAATGATTGCAATGGTCGGCGAAAGAACAGATGAATGGAGAAGCGTCATTGTTCTCGGTTTGCCCTTCCTATGGAAGTGGATGGACCTTGCCATCATTTCGCCTCTGCATCTTCGATCCTTGCTTAGGTACTGAAGAGTCTCTTGGTTGTCCAGTCAATGCTGGCGAGGGAGATTTTGATTCAGAGTTTCTTGAAGTAGTTTCTTGAGAGTGCCATGAGACATATGAGAAAGCTCGGTTCGGTGTGTTTTCCTCAGACACTCAACCACGATGGCCAGATGGCGCACGAAGTGCCTCATTCGGCCTCGCGGCCCTGGAGATACCCATCCTTGGTAACGCAGAATCCGCTTGAAACAGACGCGCTTGTGCACCTTCACAGAGGAATCCCATTCGGTGGTGGTTTTGGATCCGGGACTTGCCCCTTTTTCATCCTTCTGCCTGGCATAGCGGCTACAGGGGTATACGGTATGACCGCGCGACGGCGAGGTCGGCTGCAGCCCTGGGAGTATGTGAAGCGAGCACCCCCAACGGTTTTTCTCAAAACCAGGCGAGTTTGTTCTTTTTCAGTGCTTTTTCCTGTTACCAACAGATGCCACTGGTCATTGGCGATCCCTCCTAGCTTGGTCCTGCTCATACCTATCAAGTGATCAACAAACTCCTGTACCTTGTGCCACCACAGATTCGCACATATTCCTGCTCCCAAGTGCTAAAGTCGCTGTGATGTCCTGTTTTGGCTTCACTCCCTTGTGAGCCTGGGCTTTCGAGTTCTCTTGTTGCGTTGACCGTGGTCCCCATGCAGGACATTGTGTCGTTCGGAGTGGAGATCAGCGAGCCATCCAGGCCTCACAGCGATCGCCAGCGATCTCCTCCTCGCGCGGGGAACCCGCGGGGAACCCGCCGCGTCGATGGATCTCCATGTGGCGCTGCCCAGCGGGCGCTCCTGCTTGGTGTCCATGGGTCCAGATGCGACCTTGGGTGACCTGAAGGTGGCCGCACAGAAGGTGGGGTAGCAGGAGAGCCAGGAGAGCGGACAGCAGGGTGTTTCTTAATGTTTCTGATGTTTTTTTGGTAGGTGTTTGATGTTCGTTCTGCCCTGAAGAAGAAGGAGGAGGAGGAGAAGAAGAAGAGAAAGGAGGTTGAAGAAGGATGTGTTATTCTCCTTCTTATCCCCTCCTCAGTTGTTGAGATCGCTAGAAGTGTTGTTGTTGTTGTTGTTGTTGTTGCTGTTGCACACAGGTCGATTGTTTCATACTTGCAATGCCTGATAGTGGTTGTATTCTATGAAGGGGAATCCCGGGGAATTCCCTGATAGGTTCACTTTTTGCACCTTGCCACTCTTTGGGCAGGCCCTGCAGAAAGGCTTCCTACGGTTGGTCATCCATGGCCGTGTTCGAGAGGATTTCGAGTGTCATCTGTCGAAGGTGGGGTTGGAGCATGGGCAGGTGGTCTATGCCATCGTGCAGACGCCGCAGCTGGCGGCAAGCTTTCAAGCCTTCGCTCTCTGGTGTTGCGGTGGGGGATGTGTGACTTGGGGTCATCCTGGCTACGGCGGCGACAGCTCCGCCGTGCAAGAGGAGCTGCGAATGAAAGGCGTGCAGCACATTGAGGCCTCGAAGCACGCCTTCGCTGCCCTGTTGTCGGACGGCAGCGTCGTGGCCTGGGGGGATCCCGGCTATGGTGGTGACTGCAGCCAAGTGAAGGAGCAGCTGAAGAACGTCTGCCAGGTCAAGGGCACAGGCTGTGCCTTCGCTGCGGTGCGACAGGATGGAGGGGTCGTCACCTGGGGACATCCGATGCTTGGGGGTGACATGAGT